AGTTAGAGTTGAATAATTTTATAACGTTTAATAAATATAATAATTTTAATTAGCCTTTATAAAAATGATACAATTCTGTAAAATGCCTCCATTTAGCTGATGCAAAAATTTTTAAGCTCTGGTGTGGTGTGTTTTACAGCTAGTCAGGCCAGAGACCTGCTGTCTAAGATGTTGATCATTGATCCCGCTAAGCGGATCTCAGTGGACGAGGCCCTGCAGCACCCCTACATCAACGTGTGGTACGACCCGACCGAGGTGGAGGCAGTGAGTACAACTCTCCTAATTCTCTCAGCGCTATCGATTAGTGCGCCTGCGGTCATCTGTCACCTGTTTATTCTGATTCAGCAGCCTCTCAGCTGTGTCCACACTACTGCTAGCTAATTAAAGACTGTCCACATGCATGTCTTTTATATACTGAGGCCTACCTACTGTGTTAAAGTTTGGCCAAATTCAGTATTTTGATTCATCTGTTCTGTTTTTTTTGTTTTTTTTTCACATGGTTGGACCACTGTGACCAATCGTGATACCCTCCATCACTCACAACTGATTGAATATGCATGAGAAAAAAAATATTGCTATGCAATGTACATCGCTGTAAATAGCTACCAATCAATATGATATATTACAGGCGTAAGGCCTATTCACACCGAGATTGAATTTTCAAGACAAAGAAAATGCATGGAAAGATTTTAAAATTAAATGTTTAATTTAATATAAAATATAAAATAATATAAAATTATTATTTATTTGTTTGTTTGTTTGTTTGTATTTTTTGTTTTAATTTGCACATATATTAAATAATTATGCATTTTTATTATTCATAATATTTTACGAATTAAACCCACCACATTAGGTTACACAAATAAAATTATTTTAATTGCATGCATTTGTACCAAGTCTGAATGTTTTGTTTTTCCTAAATGTATTTATTCAGATCAAAAATATGTATTTATTTAATTTACACATTTATAAAATTATTATGCATTGTTTATTATTTATAAAATATTATGAATTAAACTCACCATATTAGGTTATACCAATAAAATTATTTTTTTAACAATTGCATGCATTTGTACCAGTTCTGAACGTTCTGTTTCTTCTAAATTCTTTCAGATCAAAAATATTTATTGATTTAATTTATACAATTAATAAATTATTATGTATATTTTATTATTCAGAAAACATTATGAATTAAATGCACCTCATTCGGTTATGCTAATAATTTTTTAAATTTTTTTTTAACAATTGCATGCATTCACACCAAGTCTGAAATTTCGAACTACAACAATTTTTTTTTAATACAGCAACACATATTTTTTACATATATTGATATCATTTTATTTATTTATTTTAAAAAATAGTTTTGTTTTTTTTCAGCATCAGACTTGGATACTTAGACGCAATTTGTATTACATTATATTTTGCAGATCTAATAGATCCTCAAATTCAGTAATTTGAAATTATTAGCTAGGTTTACTTTTACTTTTTAGGTTTACGTTGCATTTGTTAAGTTTGTAAATGTTCCTGGTTGATTCTGGGGACCTTCATCAGTTTGAGAGGACACAAGAAAGGAGTAAAAATAACAGAAAGTTGTCCTGTTCTTTGATGAAGATTTCTAAACATTCAATAAGCATTTGCCTCAGCTTCTATTCACACGTCCCCTTTTGACAAACAGCCTGTTCTTGTCTAAAGTGTGTGCCTGTAGTACTGTTTCAAAGGGGTTTCAAGGATGCTGGTTTTCTTGTTCTAGAGAGTACAGAACACAAATTACTAAGCTACATAGACAAACACGTAACAAAATACTAGCTCACATTTATTGTCTGTAAATATGTGTACAGCTGTTAGCAGATGTCATTTTATGTGAACGCTCTTTTCTGCTGACCCAAATATGAAACGAAAATATGATAGACAATCTGACATTCAATAGCAAATAGATGTTTTAATAACCCATGAGCATCGTTATGATTAGTGTGATTCTTTTCTCCTTCTCTCTGGTGTTTCTCGTTCTCTGATGAAGGCCAGGAATCAGCAGATATCTATGGTAAATAAAGACCATTCCACACTTAGGAAACCTCCTCATCTCAAATCACTCACACACCGATCTCTTTGTAACACACACTGATGTCTAGAACTCAAAAACCGAAAAAGATTGCACCTGAAATTTGCACAGTGGGTGTAGGGTGTGAATATCTGTGTGTGTTTGTATTGTGTACTAATCCTGGAGAATGTATGAAAGGAACAATGAGTTTAAATTCTGTATCCAAATAACATTTAGAGGCAATGAATAGAATAGAATAGAATAGAATAGAATAGAATTCTGGGGAGGTTTAAACTTTTAAACCTTCCTGGTTGGTGGTTTTAGTTTTAAATGAGTAATTAATCAAATGGGAGCCCAAACTATGATCAAATGCTAAGTTATTGATTTTTATGATGATTATGATCATTTAGTTCAACCAGTCAACAAAAGGCCACCCAATCACATTGAACAAACGAACAGAATCGCTTATTCACTTTAAGGTAGACTGACTCAGTGGAAAGGCATTCAAAAGAACTCACCTGTGCGCTTTGTGAGATAAAATAAAGTAAAATAATACATTTCAAATGAATACTGCAGATTCATTGTGCATTAAGGAACCCCGAATTCCCAAAACACTCCATTCAGTGCCATTTAATCTCTCGCTTTCTGTTTCTTACCCTTTAATTAACTCTGGCTTGTCACAAATCCTAGTGAGCTGCCTATGTAGACAACATTTTTGGCAGCAACACAGGAACATTTGAATCAAGCACTAAAATGATGCCTGTTACTGAAAATTTGAATGCCGCTGAGGTTTGATTTGATTGTTCAAATGTGTCCACGATTCCCAAAAATGCAGTCTAGCTGGGCTGCTCACTAGGTCCTGAGACACAGCCTGTCTTTCTCACGTCTCTGTCTTAAATCATCCGAAATCATACTGCAGATTTTCTCTGCTTTTCTGTCCTACTGATGGGGGTGTTTGGTCCTTATTTACTAAGTTCTTACTGTTGAACATGTCAATTGCATGTGCAAGTGGTGGTGACACTTCACATTACAGTGTCCATGTTATTTTACATGAAAATATCGTTAGTTATAAAAATGATTATGTTCACAAAGTCTAATTTAACAGGCAAATGTAATTTACTCATTATATTGTAATATGAACACTGCAATGTAACATATACACTACTGGTCAAAAGTTTGGGATGTTTTTTTAAAGAAGTCTCTTATGCTCATCAAGGCTGCATTTATTTGATAAAAAATACAGAAAAAAAACAGTAATCTTGCAAAATGTTATTACAATATAATATAATGGTTTCTATTTTAATATCCTTTAAAATATAATTTATTTCTGTGATGCAAAGCTGAATTCCCATCAGCCATTACTCCAGTATAAAGTGTCACATGATCCTTCAGAAATCATTCTAATATGCTGATTTATTATTAGAATTATCAATGTTGGCAACAGTTGTGCTGACAAATATTTTTTTGGAAACTGCGATACTTTTTTCAGGATTCTTTGATGAATAAAAAGTTAAAAAGAACAGCATTTATTCAAAATATAATGAAAACTGGAGTAATGATGCTTTGATAACAAGAATACATTAGATTTTAATGTATATCAAAATAGAAAAATGTTATTTTACATCATAATAATATTTCACAATATTAAATTTTTTCCTGTATTTTTGATCAAATAAATGCAGCCTTGATGAGCATAAGAATCTCCTGTAAAAAACATTAAAAATCGTTCTGATCCCAAACTTTTGACCGGTAGTGTAAATCAATATATTTAACATTACAAGTCTGACCCTCATATGTAGTGCTGTTGTCTGAACATGATTTATGCAAAATGAAAAGCATTACATCAAATAAGTAACTCTGCAGGAGCAGATGTGCTATTTTTTAGAGATTATTAAACACATAAATATAACTACATATACTGCCTGATGTATAAAGTATGGAAACCAGTTTCTGTCACAGAATAAAAAACGTAATTGCCATTTTTTAAATCTCACAATTCTCACTTTTTCCCCTCACAATTTAGTTTATATATCACAATTCTGACTTTTTCTCAGAATTCTGAGAAAAAATATAAAGAGATATGAAATCAAAATTCTGAGATAATGAACTCTGAATTGCGATATAGAAAAAAAACAGAAATGTGTGATAAAATGTCACTTTTTTTTTATTCCATGGCAAAAAAAAAAAAAAATCCAAGATATAAACTCAGAATTGCAAGGGAAAAATTCAGAATTCTGAGTTTATATCTCAAATTTCTGAGTTTATATTTCGCTATTGACTTTTTCATATCTTGCAAGTTATATCTTGCAATTCTGAATTCATATCTTGCCATTCTACAAGAAACAAAAAGTCTGAATTGTGAGATAAAAAGTCACCTTTTTGTTTTTTATTCCTTGGCAGAAATGTGCTTCCATAATAAAGCATGTATTTGTATTCTTTCTTTTAGTGGTAGGAGGATTGTGTTTATGATTAAGGACAAGCAATGATACGCTTAAAGGGATAGTTCACCCAAAAATGAAAATTGGATGTTTATCTGCTTACCCCCAAGGCATCCAAGATGTAGATGACTTTGTTTCTTCAGTAGAACACAAACAAAGATTTTTAACTCAAACCGTTGCAGTTTGTCAGTCATATAATGGCAATCAATAGGCTCCACGGCTTTGAGAGTAAAAAAAACATACACTGACAAAACCAAATTAAACCCTGCGGCTTGTGACGATACACTGAGGTCTTAAGACACGAAACGATCGGTCTGTGCAAGAAACTGAAGAGTATTTATATCATTTTTTACCGCAATACCGCAATATTCAACTGTCCTGAGCACGTTCACAACATCCGGCGCGTGACGTCAAATAAATACGGTCGGGCAAAAAATTCCACGTTGTCTGATGATATATCAAAATCGTCTTCCATTGTGATGACCTGTACTTCTAAATATCTTTAGATCATCGCAGTGCCAGTGAACACGTCCGCAATCTCTGCACTGTGTAAATAATGAGTGACGTATACGCGCAACAGATCACTTCCGCACATGTGTCTACTATCATAGATATGTATAGATGCCCTATTCGACCGCTCCAGATACGTTGACGCGTCCGCCATTTTGGAACGTATCACGGCCCATAGAAACAGTCACTAATGAGTCATCTACTTATATATATATATATCTATGTCTACTATGCCAGAGCACGTACACGTGTCACGCGCCAGATGTTGTGAACATGCTCAGGACAGTTGGATATTGCGGTGGATCAGAGGTAAAAAATTATATAAATACTGTTCAGTCAAAGCCGTGGAGCCCATTGACTGACTGCAATATATGCAATATATATATGACTGACAGACTGCAACGGTTTGAGTTAAAAATCTTCGTTTGTGTTCTACTGAAAAAACAAAGTCATCTACATCTTGGATGCCTTGGGGGTAAACAGATAAACATCAAATTTTCATTTTTGGGTGAACTAACACTCGATTGATGAATGGAAAGGTAGGCCTTCATTTGGAGCTCTCTGCATGTGGACATGACATAACTCACAGCCCACAGACAGATGAAGAGATCAAGCAGTAAATCATTCACACAGTTGTTTTTCTATCATGGTGGCCACTTTCCATTGACTTCTATTGTTACTGAGATATTTATGCTGGACTATTTAAACTGAGATAATTATTCTGTCAGATGCTAAAACTAGCCCTCAAATAAACCTTACTGCATTTTGAGTAGATTGTCTTCCTTGTGAAGACCATTGGCTGTTCAACACAATGTACATGTAGGTTATTTCAGTTTTTAATGTCCTTGTAGAGTCTAGTGTTATTTATATACTGTTATAGTATTAATGCAGTATAGTTATTTTTAAGTAGCTTTTTTTATATCAGCTTTTATTTTAATTGTATTTTAAGTTGCTATCTGCTTTTGCCATTTTTATTATTTTATATTTTTATATATTTGTATGTTTTTTATATTTATTTATTTATTTACTTATTTATATTAATTAACTTTTATTTCAGCTTTAGTTTTAGTAATTTCAGTACTTAATTTTCAACTGAAACTTAATTTTCTAATTTTATTTTCATTTAAAAATTTTCAAGTTGAAGTTTTTCATCTAATATTTATATTATATATTTTTATAATT